TTTTAAAAAAAAAAAAAAAAAAAAAAAAAAAATTATTAAAAAGATGCATAGCATTTTATTTTTTTTTTTTTAAAGAAATCATCAAATTTTAATATTATTATTATATTTAAGTATTTACTAAATAAATAAGTATAATATATACATTTTTTTATTTTCATTTTTTCTTTCATTTTTACATTGATAATAGAATAAGTTATTGGATGAAAAATTTATATTATCCGTGTTATACATATCAACAGAAGATAATGGAAATAATGGATAATCATTTAAAAATTGATTACAGAAATATGTTTTAGATGCAGATGAACAACAATTAGAATTAAATGTATTGAAACAAGATATATTATGTTGATAATCATTAGTGGAATTACTATTATTATTATTATTATTACTGTTACTAGATAAATATCTTTGTATGTTAAAATTATTATTGGAGATATAATTAAAATAATTAAATATTTGAGTATTATTTGCATTTATATTTGATCTATTACTTAAATTATCACTATTTTGATGTGATAAACTATTATAGTCATTCATATTATATGGAAATATATTAGTGGATAATTTATCTGAGTAATTTAGATTATTTGATAATGCATCTACTTGATATATATTATTTATACTATCATTAAAATATAATTTTGGTGTGTACATAAATTTATTAAAATTATAAAACATTTTGTTATTTTCATTATAAGATTCCATTGGTTTATTATTATTTAAATCACTTATAACATCTCCTTCACAATAATGTTTATTATTTACAGTATTTCTATAATTAAAAAAAGGGAATGATGGCATAAATGACGAACAATAATAACTATAATAATCATATGGAATCATATAATTTTCTGAATTTAATAAAACATTAGAATCATTATAATTAGAACATGAATTATTAAGTGTAGTGTGGGTATAAGTATCATTCATTCTATTTATATCATCAAAATAATTGTTATAACTATTTTTGTTATAATTTAATGTATTAATAGGATAATTAATAATTGATGTTACGTTGTTATTCATTATATCTTTATTTATACAGTAATTGTAAGGTTGCTTATATGGAGAATTCACATTATTCGTTTGTAAATTGTAATTTATATCATTTTTTTTTAATGAAATTTCTACCATATCATTTATATTATTTTTATCAATATATGATATATTCATTGGTGAAAGTAAATTATTTGAAATATTAGCTGATAAGGCCATTTGATTTAATGGTAATAAAACTTCATTTTGCAAAACTTGCTTTTTCATATTTACATTATTTATTTTATTCGTCATTGTATTTTTATTATTTTTTGTGTTATTTTTACTACTATTATTATAATTTTTCTTATATGTGGCACTTAAATTATCATTTTTAATATCCTTTTCGTTAATACTTTCATTATTATTATTATTATTATTGTTTTCTACTTTATCTTCTTCACATAAAAAATCATTATCTTCACAAGAATTATTCAGTGATGAATCTGTGGAAAAATCACAGTGTTTTTTATTTTCTTTAATATCCATCTTTTAAAACTTAATTTTTTTTTTTTTTTATTTTGTCTTTTTTTTCTATATTGTTTTATTTTCCTTTTTTTTTT